AGACATGTTATATCCTTCTTTAATACAAAATAAAACTCATGTTGCTTTAATAATAAGAAAATAAAGAAAAGAAAAGAAAAGAAAAGAAAAGAAAACTTAAATCACCTATATATTCTTCCTCATTTATCCAACTCTACCACTTCTACTTGTAACCTCAAAAATAATCTCTGGGGCTGGAGAGATGGCTCAGAGGTTAAGAGCACCAACTGCTCTTCCAGAGGTCCTGAGTTCAATTCCCAGCAACCACATGGTGGCTCACAACCATCCCTTATGAGATCTGGTGCCCTCTTCTGGTGTGCAGATATACATGGAAGCAGAATGTTGTATGCATAATAAATAAATAAATAAAATCTTTAAAAAAAATCTCTGCTAAATTCCTAGTATTTGTGTTTCCAGTACTTTCTATGCCTATCTCATTATGAATCAGATAGAATTTAAAGGAGATATTCTTGAACTCATACTTCTAAATCATTTTGCCTGTGTATAAGAGTACCTTGTTCTGGCACAAACATAGGGCCAGTCATTTTGATTGTCTACTGACAACATTTCCCCTTGATATTACAAATATCTTGATATTACAAATGAGCCACATATATCTTTTTATCACTGTGCAATTTTATAGGTATACCTTCTGTGGAAGTTTGTCTCTGAGGTTCCAGATTTCAGGTACTACTAGAAATAGCCATTGTCTCTGAGAGAACATCCATAAACTGCATGTATAAAAATACTTTGATAAGGAGATAGATTACGTAATAAGATACAACCATGGAGCATTTGAGTTCAAAAGACGAACCCCAAGAAAGTGCTAGAACACTTAAAGTGAAAAGGATCCCAGTGGAAGACAATCCACCTGTCATTTCAGGAGTAGGAATCCAAAGTCAGAAACACTAACCTGAGACAGCAAGCAATACAAAGAGGAAACAAAAAGAAGGCATGGTTGACCCAAGCCAGGGCTCCGGCAGCTCTGTGTTCCAGCCCTTGCTGGCTGACTTCTAAAGAGTTCACATTGTTGTTGTAGAGTCACCATATGAGACCACTGTCTCTAGGCACCATGTACACACTTCCCTGATCTGTAATTCGACACCCTCTCTGCTTAGCACTAAAGCTTCAGCAAAGGGATTTACTTAAGCCAGGTAAGAAAAAACATCTGATTCAGGGGTCTGGGGTAGAGATGGGTGTTTGGGGTAGGGGCTGGGGGTGGCAGCATTAGTGGGGACTTTTCAAGAAATGAGCTCACTTGGCTCATTAAGATTTGAAAGGATTTCATTTACTAGTGACCCCACCTCACATTGTCCTATCCTGCTTGGTGTGTTCATTGCACCCAAGCTTAAAATCAAGAGCCAGGGTCACAGTTTACCAGATTTGCAGAGGGCTTTTGGGATGCTAAGCATACCAAATCAGAGATAAAATTCAAAAAAAGCCTGAAAGGGGCCAAGAGCTAGCTGAACATTATGAAGTTCAAGTTGAAACTTGGGCAGTAGGAAGACCAGATCTAAGAGTTCAAATGGCAAAGACCTGGCTGCTTGGAGAGTTAACATAAAAATACCTGGAAAAGGCAGCAGAGTGGTGACCTCCAAACTAACTGTGGTCTGTGGATCATGTTTTTATACTCACAAAGCTCAAAAATTTGTGGGTCAGTAACATTTGATTGTCCCAATACCTTGCAGTTTGCCAGAGTTCCTATCCCTCCCTATCACACCCCATTGCTTCTCACAAATCCATTCTAGGCTCCTGCAGGGAGTCATGTTTGAAATCTCTGATTTAGAGATTTCAATCAATTGCTGTCTCTACAGGAGTCAACTGTTGCTATGGTTACTGGAATAGGATTATGCAATCTCATGTGTGTGCAACAGAAGGATAATGTTGAGAGCAAGAGATGCTGTGTTTGAACCAGACTTTGACCTGCTGTAGATGGCTCTTTGGCTTTCAGAGGGACTTCTACAAATGGTCAGGAAATGCTCACATGGGGTGGTTCCAAGCCATGTACTCTGAGGGCTATGGAAAAGGAAACTAGACTTTATGGGGAAACTTGGATTTGCACTTTTGTCCCTAGCTCTGTTGAGTATTTCTTAAAGAAGCTACTGTACTGTTGTGTTTTTTCAGTTGTGAGCCTTGGCCTTTAGTGGCTGACCGTCATTATATCCACAAAGCCCATGTTATTTTACTAATACTTGGACTATTGTAATACCCTAACTCCCTAGCCCCACCCCTCCCCTGACCCACATCCAGTTCATCACACTTCCTAAATGTTCTGAGTCTGTACACCTTTGGTTTGACCCAAGCATCGCCATCTAGCGGTGCCTGGACTAATTACTCGTCTGCCTTTCGCGCAGGTGCAGTGTCCCGCTCCAGTGTGGCTTCTGAGCAGTGATTTGTAAGGTCTAAGTGCACTGCTCTCCTTGCCTCTCACTGACCTTTCTGCTCTCACGTGTGCCTTGTTCACATCTGCCTCCCAGGTCTTGCATAAGTACTATTTGTTCTTTGAGTTCCTCTCCCAAGTCTTAGCATAGTTGTCACATGAAATATCTCAAATGTCACCTCTCTAAGAGGCCTTCCTTATCCCTTGACACCTCTTTGAATGGTGACTTTCTAGTTTTATGCAGCATCTTTATCAGTTCCTGGAACAATTTATTTGCAAACATACCTAGAGCATAAGTTCCTCTTCAAGAACTGTAAATCCTAGCAGGAATTGTAGGTAATTTCTTTTTAGGCTGGACCCATTGCCCTGAATAAATATGAATGGACCAGCTTTATTTATAATCCCTGCTAACTTCCCTTCCCCGGCTATGAAGATCTGGCTGAGACAATGTTAAGCTAGTGTGTAGTCATTGGCTGGTTTAGCCCAAATTATTTCTTCAGCCTAAGACATAAAGATCTTCACACACTTATTTCTTTGTTCAGCTTTCAGGCCCAAGGACCCCAGCAGAGAAACTTTTCCAGTGTTTCCACCCAGTATTGCCCCCAGCCTTGTCATTTTAGCCCACCATCCCTTTTTATTTCTTCAGAGAATTTACCACTACCTGAAATCATTTTCCATGTGTTTGCTGTCAGGCAGACCCATAGCACTTTAAGATTGTTCAGTGTGTGTGTGTGTGTGTGTGTGTGTGTGTGTGTGTGTGTGTGTGTGTGTGTGTGTGTCGGGAGTGTGGAGTCTGGCTGGGGGTGCTGTTCATTGCAGCTCCCTGAAGTCTGTATCAATGCCTAGCAACAACTAGGCATTCAAATATTTGTTGAGAACTGAAAGGTGGACCCCACCCTGGAGAGTCTCCTTAATTATTTCCTATTCTAAACCAGAGAAAATAAGGGCTCAGAGAGTTTTTCTCCCATTTCCTAAGGTCCCATATATATATGTGTATATATATATATATATATATATATATGTAAATTAGTATTGAAATCCAACCTGACTTCAAAACTGAAGTCTATGTGTGTCCTGGTTCTTCTTCCCTGGACATTTTTTGTAACCAAATTACATGCTTCAGGATTCTATGACCTACCTGAAGTCATAGCCTCAGATGTTTCTGGATGTTTCATGAAGGCAGACTTGCACACAGAGAGACATATGCAAACATGGACACATATTTGTATAAATAAAATACCTTGCTCTTCCTGACATAAAATTAATCACAACCAACCATGTATTTGATAGAATCCAACACAATTAAGATGCAAAACCAATCACTGTGAAAAGTCCTGGTTGCAGGAATTACTCTTTTATATATCTATCTGTTCATTCTAAAACCTATGATTTTCACCTAGAGGAAAACCAGACCTGGAAAGGGCTCCAGCCCATGGCACCAAAGCAGCTCAGTGGAGTGCAGGCCCCTACAGTGTGGGCCAGGGATCATCTGCATCCAATATGTTCCCTCAGGTCTATTTCTTGCTACGTTAGAGTTTCTACTTCACTTGAATCTCACTATGAAGTTATGGATGCCACCATTAGCATTCCCATCTGAGAGATGAGAAAATAAGCACAAACGGATGAAGTGACTTGACTCAGGCCACACCGCCAGGCTAGAGCAGGAGCCCGGATGTACTATATCAACACTCCATCTTCGCACTTCAAAGTTACACATTTTATTCTTGCCCCCCCCCTTGTGCTGGGTTTTGAACCCAGAGTCTCAGGGGTGTTACGCATGTGCTCAACCTTAGTCATACTTGTAGCCTCTTGCTCCATCTAAAGCTCTTCTCCAAGATATTGGAGCATAGGAAATCCCATGTGTCAAAATTAGCACCACCCGAGAATCTGTGTATTAGGTCCCATCTCAAATGTACTGTATTGAAATCGGCATTTGAACAAGGTCCCACACTAAATGCTATGCACCTAAATAATACAAATTACTGATGGATACAGGCACAGGAAGCAGAGGAAATTATGCACCTTTCCTTGGCTTTCCAGGGGCTTCCTTTCTAAATATCCAGTCCAGAGGGCCAATGAACGAGGAGACTAGCCTATATCCTAGTGTCTGCTGCCATCTTGTGGTCAAATTCTCATTCTCACCTAGGTCGGATTTGCTCCTCATAAAATAAACGCAGAAATAATGTGCATGTGGTCCAGGAGCTGAACATTTTTGCCTTGTGCTTTAAAAGTCTTCAACAAAAATTCAAGATGTAATGAAATAGCCCTTTCAGTGACCACAGAGACAGTCAAACAATAGCTTGCCTCTTAGTGCGTGTCCCGTGAGACAACATTCGCCTGCTTGAGAAGTCTAACAGAAAAGCTCAAGACCCAGAGTCTCTTACAAAACTCATGCATGAATGTCTAAAGATGATTATCAATTACACTGTGACTTTTTAATTCTGAATGTGCCTTTCTCGTGTAGTATTTCACAAGGTCTCATGAAATGTTCCACCCTTCTGTCACATGAATCACTGGAGGTCTCTAAAGTGAAATACCGCCAGTCCCACACCTGGGAGAGAAGAAAGAGGTTCCAAAACTTTCCTACGCATTTTGCTCCAAACATCCAAAGATCAGGCAGTGCTCTGAGTCATGGGATGAATTTGTTTAGAAGTTATTAGCTCAAGAGCTAAAGAAAGCCAAAACGATTATCACGGGTAAAACTGACAGAATGGAGTTGTACCGACCTAAACCCCTAAAGCTTGCCTATGGGAAGATTGGCCAGTACCGAAGAATTCAGCAACCCAAAAGGAAAAATGGCTCCAAAAGTAAAGGGATACAAAGGTAAGTAACGAAGATTCGTTGCCTTTCCCATTGGTGCTTTGGGGATTTGCACTACACGAGATTCCTCAGGATGACTGGAGAATGTGGTGTCTCCTTTTAAACATTATAATTTAAAAAGCTAGTCTGTATGTGTTCCGGGAAGGAGGAAGTGCTGCATTGGGTCAGGATGCAGACTGCTGTCTAAATCATGCTTCGCAATTAAAGCCTCAATCTTAGCAGGAAAAAGGCTTTACTGCCCACCCTAGTTTGAGTTTTAATGTGTCTTATAAGATTAATGTCAGTATTAAGTTGATGCTTTTTCAATAATAGTATTTTAGTCTTCTCACATGCCACACAATGAATATGCAATTTGAAAATATTAATGCATTCTATATACATCTACAATCAATGCTCTCTGTTCCCTGTTAGAGCAACGTTTGCTATTGATATGCATTCTAATCCCATTTCACTACCGAACACTCTTCAGTGAAACATAAAAACTACCTTAGACCTGGTATTTCTTGCCAACGACAAAAGAGAATGTCACTTTATAATTTTAGAATTGAGTTTGGCAATTCAGTTTCCATTGTATTTAAGCATCTCCCATAGTAGACCCATAAGCCTTAGCTCAGAGAATTTAAGCATCTCCCATAGCAGACTCATAAGCCACAGCTCAGAGATATGGGTCAAGTTTCTACACTTGCATGTATAAAGCGAATTATTATAGAGCTGTTCACTTCCACTAAGAAATCGGGGTTTAAGGGGAAACAATGTGGGCAAATGAGTCCATTATTAATAATAATAAAAAAGAACAAAAGCAACCAAACAAAAAAACTTTAAAAAGCAAAGTTCCTTTCTGTTCCAGACATCACAGGAGTTCTTTTCCTAGGTCCTGAAGCAAGATAGCTTCTCTAACTGTGTTACATAAATCAGCGGTGGGTAAAGGCTAGAAGACATGGCATGGATGTTTATTTGTGATTTCTGAGGCTGGTCGTCTTTGTAACAGCCCAGACTGGCTTTGGACTCAGTCCTTCTGCATTAGTCTCCTGTGTGCTGAGATGACATATTTGTGCCATCAGTGCCTGCTTAAAGCAAAGTATTTTTTTTTAACCTGAGTGGTTACATGGAGGGCCTTCCGGATCCATGGACATTCTGAAATGTATTTCTGTTGTATGTGAGAGTTGTTATGTACATATTTATGGCAGCATAAGTTATTAAAACATTAAAATTACTAAGAGTCTCAGGCAGGTCCACAGAAAGTCAATCCTGGCTGATAGGTTATCTTTGGGCAAGAAAGAAAATAGAGCATCTTACTCCAGACCCTTTATTACAACACACTCGGGGTGCATAGTCACCCCAGAAGGTGCTTATTTCCTTCCTGGCCTTTCTTCTGGGTGGGAGGGGTCCATCCCATTAAGCTGCCCTCCTTTCACCTCTGGAATGTGCTTCCTCATTTGATCCTCAGGCTAGAGAGTCTGTCACATATTGAAGGCTTTATTAGAAGCCAAACTGTTTCCTTCTAGCTTCAGATTTCTCCTAAGATTACTCCTATTTTCAAATGAGAAAACTAAATCTTGTAAACAATTAAACAGCATGCCCAGGGGTATACAGTCCGAGGGCATGGCTCTGAGACCAATCCGTCAAACTCCAGTGACTCCACACCCACTGGAATCTCTTCCCAATGACGATTGTCTCTGACATTAACAGACCCGTATCCACTCTGGAGCAATGTTTTGCTGGAAGGTGCTGCCTGAGATACATTAGGTAGTATATGAAGAACATCTTTAATGGTCACTAGTTCCTTTTAACCCAAGTTAGAAACATGTATAACATATAAATATTGTATCATATAGTGTAGCAAAGCAATCATATCATGCTATAGCTGGGATTTCCTGCTGAGGAAATATTCACAGCAAAGCTTATACCCTAATGTTTATAATTTTGTTCATAATAGCCCCCAAATGGAAACAATTTTAAATGTCCTTCGATGAGTGGATGGTTAAACACAGCATGGTATATCTATATTGTGGTGTAACTCTCCACAATGAAAAGAAAGGAAACATTGGCTCCAGAGAATTCTATTAACAAACATGTATACCCTAGAGCTGAGGGTAGGGCTTACTAGTGCAATACTGGTCTAGCATTTCAACGCTATGTATTCTACCCTCACTCTCCCCAAACAAAACTAAACAGAGACAAGCAAATGCTAGAAGCTTGAAATGTTATACAGTGCATGGATCCATTTAGAAGACATTCTTGAAGGAATAAAAAGAAGCCAATTAGAGGACCTGTGAGTAGTTGTATGCCTGTGGTGTGTTTGAGGAGTGGAGGTGTGTGCCTGTGTATGCTAGTACAGAGGGCAGAGGATGACAGTTGTCTTCCTCTATGGCGCTATGCATCTTGCCCTTGAGACAAGGTCTCTCATACCCTAGCACTTGCTATGTTTCCACTAAGCTGACTACTCAGCCAGACCTGGTGACCTCCCTGTCTCCATGGCCCCACTAAACATTTTATGTGTGTTCTAGGGACCCAGACTTCGGTCCCCATACTTGTACAGCAAGTATGTTACTGACTGAGCCATGCCTCTGGCCCTCAAAGGTTTTATATTATTAATGCAGTCTGTTTAAATTTTTGTTTAGATGGCATAGAGCTGTTTCTACCAAACAGAATGTATTGGTTCCCAATGAGGAATCATTGAATGAAAGTGACTTGGAGTTTCATGAAAGCCAAAATAATCAGAAAAAAAACTTGATGGAGAAAATGAAGCGAGCTTTTGGGAAAATGCTGCCCTGCAAATGTGGAAGCCAGTCAGGCCGTGCCTGCAGGGAGAGCTCTGCAGGGCAGAGGGAAGCCGCCCTCTCCAACACACAAGGCCTGCTGCCTAGACTTGTCAAGGAACTTCCATCTCCCAGGTTGTTTACCAAGACAAGGATGAGAAGACTCTCACAGAACGGTAACCAACAGCAATTTAATATTAAGCAACCAAGAGGAGCAGTAAAATAAAGATGAACTGTAGTTTAGATGTTGAATGTCCCCAAAGGCGCTTGTATTGGCTTATCTCTTTGGGTGTTGTTATCAGGAAGTAGGGTTGACGGGGATTTCCCATAGTTGTTGGAAACTTGCCCTAGAACTCAAGATCCAACCGAACTTACTGCCTTCCTCTTTGGCTTCCTGGTCAGGAAGTGTGACTTTGCTCCCTTACACTCTACCCACCATTGCTATTTGTTAACCCTAACAGAGGCCTAAAGGCACGGGTCTGCTGGGTCATGGGCTTGATAATCTAAGATCTGAACCCAAAGAACTGTTTCTCTTCATAGGTCAGTTATCTCAGGTATTTTGTGACAGTGACAAAAAGTTAACCTTCTATGGCAACTCTGAGGAGCTTGTCTAAAACGCAAAATCTTTTGCTCCACCTAGGTCAGCTGAGTTGAACCACTCTATGGAGATCCTCCTCATTAGGCTCATTGATATATGTACACAACTTAATGTATGTAAAAAATTTGAGAAAAATAGATTGTATTGTTTTTAAGGTTCCTCTGAGTCTGGTTAGTAGGTTATCTAGCCATTCTAAACTCACTTTGTTTTTGTTTGTGTTTTTCAAGATAGGCTTCTTTGTGTAGACCTGGCTGTCCTGGAACTTGTTCTAGAGTCCAGGCAGGCCTGGGACTCACAGAGATCTGCCATCTGGGATTAAAGGCCTGAGCCACAATTGTCTGGCTTCTAAACTCACTTTTAATTTAAATGTATATGCACATATATGCATAGATGTGGACATACATTAGAAAATCAAACTCCAGTAGGATTCTTGCTTACTTCTAGAGGATGTGTAAAAGAGCTAGTTCAGAAGCAAAGGGTGTACAGAGAATCAGGGGAATGAAATTTATAGTTGGCAAGACAGAAAGGAGGCTTGGATTTCATTTGTATGTTTTTAAATTTTATTGATATGAATGTTTTATTTTGCTTGCATATGTCTGTGCTCCACATGCTTGCTTGAAGCTCTGCAGAGGCCAGAAGAGGGTATAAGATCTGCAGGTATTTGACATACAGACAGTTGTGAGCCACCATATGCATGCTGGGAATTGAACCCAGGTCCTCTGAAAGGCAGCCAGTGCACTTAACCACTGAGATATCTTTCCAGTCAATCATTTATATAATTTTAAAACCTATTTATTTATTTTTATTCTTTGATGACTTCACAAATGCACACGTTTTGGGGTGATTTTTTACCCCCACTATCCTCTTTCATCACCATCTCCAAGCTCTCCTCCTATTTTTCTGTGTGTGTGTGTGTGTGTGTGTGTGTGTGTGTGTGTGTATGGAGAGAGAGAGAGAGAGAGAGAGAGAGAGAGAGAGAGAGAGAGAGAGATTTGCTGCTGAGTTTAATTAGGGTTGTTTGCATGAACATGGGAGATTTATTTGGATAACTTATTTAGTGGTTATGCCTTTGAAGAAAGTGACACTCCCTCCCAAGAACCATTAACTTCCAGTGAGCCCTGTGTGTGTATGGGGGGCTGTGATGAGTCCCCCCCAAACTGTAATGCAATGTTGGTGGGCTCAAAGACAATATCTTATTACACTGTTGGGAAAGTCCATCAGGATACAGAGAACTGAAAGTGCTCTACTATTAAGCTGAATCTTCAGCTAAAGGAACCAAATCTCTACTAATCTGTGAGCTGTTTTTATCTCGGTTGGGATACTCAATCTTTTTGCTAAGATTTCTCTTCAAGTGCCATGTACAGGTTTTTGTTTTGAGACAGGGGCTCGCTGATCAGGCTAGGCTGACTGGTGGCAGAGCCACAGGGATCCATGTGTTTGAGCCTCTCTGTCAAGAGAGATGTGCTACCACAGATTCCATAGTCTAAGGATACATACATGGTCTTTCTGACTTCTTAGACTCAACAGAAAGAAGTAGTGGGGCTGGAGAGATGGCTCAGAGGTTAAGAGCACCGATTGCTCTTCCAGAGGTCCTGAGTTCAATTCCCAGCAACCACATGGTGGCTCACAACCCATCCCTTATGAGATATGGTGCCCTCTTCTGGTGTGCTGATGTACATGGAAGCAGAATGTTGTGTACATAATAAATAAATAAAACTTTTTTAAAAAAAGAAAGAAGTAGCAATGGGATAATGGGGGGCACAGGAAAGAACCAAGCATAGAAGTTTGATGAGGCTAAGTGAATGTCTTCACACAGATAGTCACCTACACAGAGTGCGACTGAATGCTTGTACCACTAAGGTTGAGGATGTTGCTCAAAGTGTTGTCAAGTCAGATGTACAGTGTTGTTTCTTTAAAAAGATTTAAATCAAAAATGAGAAGTTTTTAAATGATTATCTCTCTCTTGAAAGATGGGCTTCACATATCTCTTAAAAATAGTCAAGTTTTGAAAAGCCACCTTCTGGTTCTAAGCCTCAGTTCTGCTTCTTGCCTAGGAGCTGATATACTCTCATTGTTGTCAGTCTTCGGTCAGACAAGCGTGACACTCAAACACTGACTACATATTGTTTGGTTAGAAGCATGTGTTTTAGCTTGGGGTGAAGCAGCTGGTACTCTCTTGCTTTGTTTTGTTGATGTTTTTGTCCTTCTACTAAGTGAGTTTCTATTCCATCCACATTAATTTTAGTTAAACCTTTTAATTTGATACAAGCTCTTTGTCAGTTTTTGGATTATTCTCCTATGCTATCAGAATTGTATTCAGGAAGACCTTCCCTATGCCAGCCAATAGCTTGAAATGTTTTGCGCATGTTTTCCTGTAGGAGTTTCAGGGTTTGGGATCTTACATGATCTTTGATCCATTTTGAATCTAATGTTGTGTATGGGGAGAGCTACAAATTTGGTTTCATTGTTTTTAATGTAGACATTCAGTTTTTTTTTAAGAGGCTTGCTGGTCTTTGTTGAATGTTTTTTACATGTTAACCATTAGATGGCTGTATTTATGTGGGTGCATTTCTGATCTTCCGCTAGTAAGTCTGATTTTGTCACTGGCACTGGAGTGTAGATTGAGATAAACATTGGATGACTAAGGCTCTCTTTCTGCTCAGCTAGGCTACTTGGGGTTATTTGTGCCTCCATATGAATTTTAGGATGTTTTCTCCCTGCCTGTGGAGAATGCTATCAGAATTTTGATGGCATTTTGGTGAATCTATAGACAATTCAGAAACAGAGGCATTTTCAGAATATCAATTGTAAAAATTCATAAGCATGTGTGATGGTTATTCTTGGTTGTCAACTTAACTACCTCTGAAATCAACTAAAACCCAAGCAGTTGGGTGCACTTGTGAGAAGTTTTTTTCTTAATTAAATCATTTGAAGTGGGAAGACCCCCCTTTTAAACTAAATCTTTTGAGGTGGGAAGATACACCTTTAATCTGAGCCATACCTTCTTTTGGCCGCCTACATAAGAGACATAGAAGGAACTCCTCACCTCCTTTTGTTTTGGTTTTTCGAGACAGGGTTTCTTTGTGGCTTTGGAGGCTGTCCTGGAACTAGCTCTTGTAGACTAGGCTGGTCTTGAACTCACAGAGATCTGCCTGCCTCTGCCTCCCGAGGGCTGGGATTAAAGGCATGCCCCACCACCGCCTGGCTTTTCTTTTCTTTTTTTTTTTTTTTTTGGCCCACCTTCTTCTCTTTGTTTACTTTCCATTCCTTCACTGGCATTAAAGTCTATGTCTTTGGAATTCTGCTGTATACATTCAGCCTTGTGGACAGAGCAACTGGACTCTTTGACTTTCTGTTGGTAGACAGCCAGTGTTGGACCAGCTGGACCACAGCCTGTGAGCTACTCTAATGAAGCCCACACCTCCTGTATATATTATTCTATCAGTTGTTTTTCTACAGCAGTGTTTCTCAACCTTCCTGATGCTGTGACCCTTTAATACAGTTCATGTTATAGTGACCCCCAACCATAAAATTATTTCATTGCTCCTTCATAACTATAATTCCACTGCTGTTATGAAGTGTAATGTTAATATCTGATATGCAGAATGTCTGATGGGGTCATGACCCACAGGTTGACAACCATTGCTCTAGAGACTCCTGAAGAACACAGTGAGGAAACTGAATTCTTCAATCTATTCTTTAGTGTTACTGTGGAAATCTTTCACTCAGTTTAATTCTTATATATTTATTGTTGTTTTTTGTTTGCTTGTTCATTTATTTGACACAATTGTTAATGGGAAATTACCCTTCGTTTTTTCTTTGACTAATTTGTTATTGGTTTAAAATCAGTTACTGATGTTTGAATTTTTATTTGTCTACTTATTTACTTTCGAGCAGTGTCTCTTATATCTTAGGCTGGGTTTAAATGCTGACGATGGCAGATATGTGGGTCCAGACTTGATCCACCTGCTGACTGCAGGTTCAGGGCTACCACTGAGGATTGACTGACTACCTTTCCCCATGCACTGCACGGCCCAAGCCAAACTCTCTACCTGGACTAACCACACTTTTCAACATCACTTCCTTCTGCTCTTCACAACTGCCTCCCAAGGTTGCCTCAAATTCTTGAGGATGTGGCAGGTTAAATTAGGCTCTTTTCAGAGCCCCAGGGTAGTTAAATTTTAAACAATGATTCCTCACCAGTGCCCTTGAAATCATTTTTAGTGGAAAAAATAGAATTCCTCTCAACTGCTCTCTTGTTGATAAAGGAAATCTGTCTCAACAAAACCTATAATGTTTTTGACACTTGTGAGAACTGCAGGCCTATCTTGAGGAGGAGTGCCCATTCCTTTCACTAGGTTTGCCTAGGTTAGCTTTTGAATGACACTTCTGCTTCCCCTCCCTCACTCCCAATGGGCATCTGGAGCTGGAGCCTGTGTTCAGCCTGGCTTAGTCCTTTTTGGTATATTACCAGTCATTTTCAGTGTACTTTTTGGCTGTCTTTTGTGAATTTCTTCAATGTTCCTCTCTGTCTGTTTCATAGTCTAGCTCTTTTCCTAGACCAGGTCACATGGAGACAGCTCCTAGTTGGCCGTCTTCCCTATTAGTCTTCATGGTATCGCTTTATTATTTTATTACACTTTTATATTAGTATTTTTATTTTATACATATGGATGTTTTACTTGTGCACACATCTGCAGAGGCCAGACGAGGGCATCAGAAACCCTGAAACTGAAGATGGTTCTGTGCTTTGATGTGGGTTCTGAGAATCTAACCCAAGTCCTCTGTAAGAAGAGCCAGTGTTTCTAACAACTGAGCCCTTCTCCAGCCCCTTATTCATTATGGAACTAGAAAGATGGCTCCATGCCTTTGGGTGTATACTACTTTTTCAGGCCTGAGTTCGGTTTCCAACTTTCATGTTGGTAGGCTCACACTGCCTGTAACTGCCGCCCCAGAGGATATGATGCCCTCTCGGTCTTCAATGGGCCCTGAACTTATGTGCACATATCCATATCACCAACACACATACATTAAAATAACACAAAATCTTTTAGAAATGGTGTGTGTGTGTGTGTGTGTGTGTGTGTGTGTGTGTGTGTGTGTGTGTGTTCATGTGAAAGTCAGAGGATGTGGGAATTAGTACTCTCTTTCAACCATATGGGTTCTGGGGATTGAACTCAGGCTTGGGTGGCAAGTGCCTTTACCCACTGAGTCATCTCACTGGCCCTCTGGTGGCATTTTAAACTTTTCTTTATTATGTCTACTGAGTTGAGACTGAATTCATAGAAGAAAATAATTAAAAATGTTCCTCATTGGAACTAGCGAGACAGTTCTGCAGTAAAGAACACCTGCTGCTTTGCAGAACAGTTCTTATGATCCACATGGAGGCTCACAACAAACAGTCCAGGGAGTCTGATAGCATTTTCTGGCCCCTGCGGGTACTACACATTTGGTGCATTTGCATATATTCAGGCAAAACATAAAAAACTTACAAGCAAAAAATAAAATCATAAAAAACTCAAACATAAACAAACGTTCCTAGATATGGGGCATCCATTTAGATGGTATGTGAGTGACTGAGTCTTGGCTGCATTTCTGGAGAACAAAGTAAAGTTTGCTTCGTTACACTGATTTAACCCTCCTAGTGCAAGGTCCCTTTTCCTAATTCCATTATGGCCAAATTGAAAACCATGCAGGGGAAAGTGCAGCATCCAGAAGAGATAGTCACCATGGCAAGACTATGGCCACTACAAGAGGCAACTATGTACTGAAGGAGATCTAACACCAGAAAAGCAAATCTGCTTTTTATTTTCAATCCCAAGGAAGAAAAGTTTCCAAGGTGGTATAACAGTCTATAACACCATTTTCCACAATTGTTTTGCTTAGGAAGACCATGTTTGCAATTGCGAGCCTCACATATTCTTTCCTCTTCCTCTTTAAGCAACTATACAGCTTGACGTTGTAGAAGCAGAGGCAGAAGAGGTAACCGGAGGAAACCGGCTCCTTCGAGCCAGAAGAACCACCAAGCGCTTATCTGTGACTTCTCTTCCTTCGGGACTGCAGAAGGTAAGGTGCTAGCTTCGACTTGCCTTCAAAGACCTACACAAATTGGTTTCTTTGGGTCTTGCCAAAAACAAAGTTCTCTTTTACCTTCACTCACCCATAGTAACCCTGCACATCTGTTGTTTGAGTCCTTCCACCAAGAATTTAAGGCACAATGAGGGTTTTTTCCGTATCAGATCCTTTTACTTCTGACTCAACCGTCCAGCTCCTTCTACAGCTTGGCCTACACTAGAGTGTGGAGCTCTGTGTGGACTTATTGAATTGTTCAAAAGTTGAAGTCACACACTAGGAATCTGGCCAATCCAGATGTTGCCCAACAGCAAAACTCCTCAAAGGCATCGTCATTCATCTGATAAAGCAGCTATTAGTCACATATGCCGTTGGAGAGTGAAATGTGGCCAATGTAAATGGATAACTGAATTAGCATTGTTTAATTTTAATTTAAACTCAAAAGTAAATTCATTCAAATGGCTACATTTACAACATAAGACAGTATCATGGCTAGATGATCCAGGCATGTCCAGACTGCAGACAAGCTGAATGTAGCCTAGAGTAAATTCAAATTTGTAAATTTAAAGCATTGGGTTTTTTTCTTTCTTTCTGTATGTGGAATGCTCTGGCATGTTGGTGTGCATACACATGTGTGCTTGTGGGAGGCAGGGGACAACCTCTGCTGCATGTGTGTATGTGGGAGACTGGGGACAACCTGTGTTGTATGTGTGCATACACATGTATGTAGGAGACAGGGAACCACTGCTGTATGTGTGTATGTGGGAGACGGGACAACCTTTGTGGTCTACATCAGGAAATGTTCACTTTGCTCTGAGACTTGGTCTTAGCTCAGGGATTAGGCAAGGCTGCCTGGTCACCAAGCCTCAGATACCTGCCCATGTCTGGCTCTCCAGTGCTGGGATTATGAGTGCACCACCATGCCTGGCGCTCTCTCTCTCTCTCTCTCTCTCTCTCTCTCTCTCTCTCTCTCTCTCTCTCTCTCTCTCTCTCTCTCTCTCTCTCTCTCTCTCTCTCTCTCTCTCTCTCTCTCTCCCTCTCCCTCTCCCTCTCTCTCTCTCTCTCTCTCTCTCTCTCTAACTTGTACTCTCAGGATTGAATTCAGGGCCTTACATGCACAGCAAGCACTTTACCTTCTGAACTCTCTTCCCCCAGGCCCCTGTGGTTTATTGATTTTGTACCTTAGTATCTGCCAGCCTTTTGCCTCCTGAGTACTGGGATTAAAGTATGTGCTACCACATCCAGCTTGATTTTGTTTTTTGTTTTGGATGGTTTAAGACAGGACCTCATTTTGTCGTCTTGTCTGGTTTCAAATTCTCAGAATGCAACAATCCCCCTGCCTCAGCTTCCTGAGTCACAGACACTGTGGGCATCTCCCTTCCTAGTTGTTTAGACTATTTTAAAAACAGAATTCAACTATTATTATTATTATTATAATATCCACTTATTTAACTCTAGCACTCAGTTCCTGGCTGTTCTAAGTGCTTAAAAATTTCAACTCAGAAAATGGTTACAAGTCTATAAGGTAGTAATACTTTTATTTATGGATGACTCTGGGAGTTTGTTAATTTGTGAAAATGAGTGGGAGAGCTGGGTTTCCAATAAAGGCTAAGGGTTCTCATTCATATTCACTCTCCCACTTTCTTTTTTATCATGGTTCTGGGAATTGAACTCAGGCCTCATAGCTAACAAGTATCTGCTCTACTGATGAGTCAGATTCCTCCCCCTTCCAAACACATTCTTATAAACTGTGCAGTATTATTCTATAGCCACCTGTGACTATATTAATTTAAATTAAATGGAATTACATGTGTATTTTCTCAGGCTGGGTGATGGTGGCATTCACCTTTAATCTAAGCACTTAGGAGGCAGAGGATGGCAGATCTCTGAGTTGGAGGCAGCCTCGTCTACAGAGCAGGACAGCCAGGGCTATATAGAGAAATCTTGTCTCAAACACCCCACCCCCACACACACATACCCAAAACAAAACAGAACAACAACAACCACCACCAACTGGATCTAGCTTGTGTCTTTTTGTACTGAACAGCACAGATAAATAGTTCTACCCCTGCAGAAGGCAGAAGATTCTGTTAAGCAGTACTCTTAACAATCACTGCCAGTATACAATACCAATTTTGAGTTTTGCTTTAGGGTTGCCAGGTATTTATTGTGCCTCTATTCTAGGCAACTTCTGGGATTGAGAACTACAGGGAAGATCTGATGGACATGGTCTTGCTTTTCATGGAAATTGCAGTCCAATAGAGGGTGAAATTGTTAAACTGTAGAGAAGTGGGATAAGGATAATCTTGTACAATGGAGGTAGGTCAAATGGATATATGTATGGGGAAAAGCTCACATTATAGACCAGTCCAATTTCTGTTGAGCTAGAGAGTTAATTGGGAAAGGCAACATGTAAAACTTCAAAACAGTAAGATCACGATTTCAGGACAGTCTTCTCAGGATATATGGCACTGATGAGACCCATGGAAATTTTTGGCTATAATAAAGATTCCTGCATACCAAAAGACATTAAATCAGAGGTTGTCAACTGTTAAGCCCTCACAATGCTCCCCAAATTATATATGAATTACTTGTCCAAATATTAAAAGTAGGACATTTCAAGTAAAGATGCAGGTTTCCAACTTTCTCTTGAAAAATTGGAAGCTTTAGAAACACAATGCTTCAGAGAAACTAGCAGGGATAGGAAAGAGGTGCCCCCACAGAAGGCCTGTTCTCTCTGGGCTACTCCTCCTCATTCATCCTGGTTTACAAAACCTGCCTCAGCACCCAACTCTGCAACAGTCATACTGAGCAAGCACAGGAATACTTAGTAACCACCATTTACATAGATGCTTTGTAGAAAAAATAGCTGGGTATGAGAAAAGTGGGATTTTAACATGATGTTGTGATGCATTCAGGAGACAAAGGCAGGGGGTCTTGAGTTGAGGCCAGACTAGGGTAAAGGGTGAGTTCTAGGCTAGCCTGGGCCTACACAACAAGAGAGAAACAAAACCCCAAGCCCCTCAAATGGGCACTTTAGGTGGATGAGGAAAAGTTCAATATGGGTAAGCTGGCAGGATAGGGATGGTTCTGCACCTCTTTCAAAGGGTAGGACCTAAATGTGACCCCACAAGCTGTTCTCTGTGTAGCTGACTGCCAAGCACAAGGGGATGGGGAAGATTTGCAGCCAGCAAATCTCAGTATCCAGGAAAGGTTTCCCATAGGCACTTATAATAGGAAGCCAGGGACAAGGAAAAAATGTCTGGCATGGGCATGAAGAACCCAGGACTTCTTTATGTCTGGACTGCCAGGAAAATAAGGAGACACAGAGACACAAGAGAAAACAAGCAACTGGATGCAATGTAATGAGCTCTCTGTGCACTGGCCCACAGCAGCCCAGCAATTCTTGTGCTCGGCAGCCATAGCAAACTCTTCTTGTCTTTTCCAGTGACCTGCTTTTTTGCTGACACTGTCTCTCCTTTCAGAGCCCAGTCGTCTCATTTCTCTGCACCCTACATGACTCTTCAAAGAGCGCTCTGGGCACCAAGGAAACACATGGGGTGCAGAGAAAATGAATACAGATTTCACCTCTGTTACCTGGCAAACAACCATTCTGTGAGAATGTCTGAGGCTGAGTGCTGATCACTAGTGTAGAACTGACAGTTATTTCCTAATCGGATGCTTTGCATTTTGACAATAGGTACCATATTCATCAAAAAAGAGACCACACTTTCCAGCACTTAAAAAGAAGAAACAGAGCATGGAAGACATCCTCCAGAAACCAGACCCGACAGTTGGAAAGCTTCAAATGCAGGTTGTGGGGTCATAGGGTCATGGGCAAAGACATCTCTTTTCTGTTTCAGAGGCACCAGAGAGCAGGCTTAACTCAACAGCTTACCCTATAAGACAGCATGGAGCAGGGCATAATTATCAATCACCATTAAGAAATACTATTAGTGGTGGGTTTCTGAGAGTGGCTAAGGGACTGCTAAGAAACCTAGGATGACACCAAGTGCCTAATAAATATTAAGTGAATTCCATTAAAACGAGGCACACGCAGGCTTGAGAAGAAATGAGGCCATCTTACCCCTGTGTGGTAAATCTGTTTTCAAGCTCTATTTGTTATGAGCTGAATTAGAATACTACTTTGGCACTCTCAGGAAAACCAACCATGTCTTTGCTTTCAGCAGTTTCATTTCTTTGTATCTATCATAGGTAGATGACCTCATAGAAAGAGTGACTGACAAATCCATGAAGCTGCTGGCCCAAAGACATGCTGAGCTTCAGCAGTGTGAGTTTTTAGGGGCTGAGATCCTTCAGTCTTCGAAGCAGTTCCAAAGGCTTTCCAAGAGAACCACAAGGAAGTACAAGCTGAGGAGGGCATGCTTCCCATGCACCTGCTGCTGCTTCTGAAGTCCAAGTACACAGCCCAGCAGCAAAGAGAGCCTGCCTCAAACAAGGTGGAAGACAAGCAGCAACAGCTGAGGCCATCATCTGAACCTGACTTATGCTCAAAGGTGTACTCCCTCTCAAAAGCATGTAAACATGTCTTATGCACATATGAAAAAAAATATTTTTAAAAATGACTCCTAAAGAACAAAAGAATGGAGAGGAAACATTTACTAGCCACATTTCTCAAGTCCTAACAGAGAGAGATGCAGAAAAGCAATGTACCAGCAATTCTTAACAGTGTGGAACGTTCCCTATAGTGAACACATACCACACGTATTCATCATGGCCCCTCTAAAGCCTGTTCATGGACTTCATGAATCCACTTTTCAAAAGTGGTTCCTCACGTGTATCACAAATTCAATCTTCTTAGAATCCTCAGCTGATTTTATAAGGCAACTGTTACTAGCTACCTAATTTTGAATATGCACAAAGATCCATCTTGAGAAATTTTATTAAATGTTTTCAGATGTTGAATTCTACCTTTAAAGATAAAAATGCATTTAAAAAACACAATACACCAAACACATTTCCTTTGTGAGAAGAAATATGAGTGAGACATGAATTAATATTTAAAAGCAAAGCATTTCACTGCTAAAGTTGAAGTATCTCAAAACCACAATAAACAGAACCCAATACACCCATGCAGCTTTTTACCATCCCTGCAAATGGGGATGGTCAGCCTGTCTATGGCTTAGGGTCTGCTTCCATGGCACTTTCTTGAGCTTCGTCCACCTCTGACAGCTTGTCATCATCTGTAGGTAAGAAGATACAAAACCTTATTCATTGTGCCTATGTTTTATGCCCAGAGAATAAATGAAAAGTTTTATTTTGTATTAGCAAATATACTTAAAACAAGGATGACAAAATGACAAGTTATGGCTGCAAATGGCTTAACAGGTGTGAAGGCTCATCTTGTTGAGCCTAATGATTTAGGCTGGATCCTGGGACCCACATGGGGAAGAAGAGAACTGACTTCTACACTCTGGCCTCCACACCCAGGCCAAAGTTATATATGCAACCTTCTCCCACAAACACACACAAATAAATGTGATACATTTTTTTAAAAAAATGCTGATTTGGTTATTCTTACTTATTACTAAGAATGTAAAATTTGTGTAATAGATTTCATTAAAAACAAACAAACCAAAATCTAGGTCTTGGTCTTATTTTTTAAAAAACAATTAGACATTGGGGAACACATAAAATTACAGTTGGTTATAGTCACAAGAAAGATCAAGTCTTCAAAATCATAGAGTACCCCACTTTCTAGGCATGTAGGCAGCCTAACATACTGATAACTTATAGTAACTTGCCCATGTTCTGAATTATTAGTCAGGAAACACTTCTCATTGTCCTTGAAATTTTCTTACCACTAGACATGCATGCAAAGCACAGATCACAACATTACTGCTCTTTTTCTTTTTTCCTTGAGACATGGTTTCTCTGTGTAGCCTTGGCTGTCCTGGAACTCACTCTGTAGACCAGGCTGGCCTCAGACTCAGAGATCTGCCTGCCTCTGCCTCCTGAGCACTGGGATTAAAGGTGTGTGCCACTATCACTGGGCTACCACTATCGTTCCTTTGCATGCATATACAAATTGAACAAATGAGCGTTTTCTAATGCCATCCAGGTATACCACTAGGTTCTAGAGGCAGACTCTCTAACCAAGATATTCTTCTAAAAGACACATACCCTAAGCATTTAAAATCCTCATAAACAGTAATTTTGAATTTTTTTTTTACTTACTCTCCAAAGTTTGTTGAAGTTCGTGGATGGTACTAAGAAGAACATGAAATTGTTTCCGTCTCAATTCCAGCTGTTAAAAAGGAAAACAACTTATATAAGTTGGTCTATACATACACATGCACACACATTCGCGTGCACGCAGAAGCTAATGGATATATTTAAATACCTTATCTTCAACACTTTCTTTAATATGTGAGAGATGCTCCAATTCTTTGCCCAGAGCCTCTAGCTCCCTGTCAAGCAAACAACAAAACAATACAATGTTATAGTTTGCTACTTAAGGGAAGAGAATTTATAAATGTAATATTTTGATCACTAAATAATATTCTGAAAATAAAAGGGTTTTGACAGATGGCTCAGCAGTTAAGAGCAACCTCTTCTCTTTTAGAGGACCCAGGTTCTAGTCTCAACACCTACATTGTGCTTCACAATTGTCTGTGACTCTAGTCATAGGGATCTGACGCCCTCATGTGGTCACCATGGGCATCAAGCATGCAAATGATTCATGGACACCCATGCACACAAAGCATGCAACACAACACAAAGCATGCATAACAATAAAAGTAAAAAAAAAAAAGTCGAAGATTTTTGAAATTGAGGATTATTTCTAAACTGTACTATATTTATTATAACTATACTTTTAGATACAAATTTTAAAATGATAAGAACATAATAGTTATATAGAATAAAACCTATGAACAGATATATTTTTGTACACCACCTTCAGTTTTTCTGCCAGTTGACTAAAATACTCTATGAATATGACTCCCAGTCTTCCATCTCACATCTATTTCCCCTAACTCCTACTCAGATACCCTGCGTATCGTTGTAATTTCTTTTAGATACATCAATTTGTATCTCTGAATAGTGTACAGTATTAGTACATAACATTTGGGAGGAAGTTTCTTTTTGGGGGGGGAAGGGTTTATTTGGTTTACATTTCCGTATCACCAAAGGAACTCAGGACAGAACTCAAACTGCACAAGAACTTGGAGGCAGGCGCTGATGCAGAGGCCATTGAGGGATGCTATTTACTGGCTTGCTCAACCTGCTTTCTTACAGAACTTAAGACTACCACCCCAGGGACTGGATGGCCTGGTCCCTCTCCCATCAATCACCAATATAAAAAATGCCCCTACAGGCTTGTGTACAGCATGATCTCATGGAGGCATTTTCTTTCTTCCTTCCTTCCTTTCTTTCTTTCTTCCTTCCTTCCTTTTCTTTCTTTCTTTCTTTTTAAAGACCTTACATATTTAATACAGTGCATTACCCCTGTACAAATGGAAAAAAATTAAGTTCAACTTTTCTAGACCAATATGACTGTCAATTTCTGTACTATGCCAACTCAACACGGTAAATTGGGATACTTTTTTCCAAAGTTGACAGCACAGCTAAAGTTTCCAAAAATTCAAATTATATATATATATAAAAAACAAAATCCCAGAAAACAGCACAGTTCTGTTACTCTTGTGGTATCTGGCACCATTTTTTTTTTAATTAGCTTCTCAATCATCATCTGGAAGGAAACCATTCTGAGCAACATCATTAAAAACAGCTCTGATAAAGCACGGTTACTACTATGTATCATAAAGCAAGTCCACATATGGGTGAGTACATATTATGTTTGTCTTTTTGTGATTGGGTTACCTTGCTGGGAGGGAGTTTCTAATGTTCATAAATGAGATGCGTATGTTTCATAATTTGAAATTCATTAAATGTCCTTTTTTACTGTTTATGTCTTAAGCTGTTTTAAAAATGTGCATCTAGCATAGTCTGTATTAGTATTCAGTGCTCTGTGATAGCAATAGAATAAAGGACACATATTCATTTCCTTTTGAGACATATCACATGAATTTATTCTGGGCCTCTAGGAGAGAGAAGAATCTAATCAGGCAGTGTAAAAATATGTAATAGTGAAAATATGACTTCCCCTTCCTTGTGATGTCTGCTAGTGTGTATCTGAAAATGACATGCAGAGTGGATTGTCAACACTTCTGTATTAAGGCAGCTCCCCACAAAGCTCTAAACTTACTTTAATGTCTCATGTCTGTCTGGATGATGCTGAATAACTTTCGCCAAAGCGTCATATTCTGAAAGACACGAAAAAAGGAGCCTTTTGAACATGGATTATCAGGACAAAATGTGTAAATGAAAAACATCCACTTTCCTAGATAAGTAAAGAAATAACAATAATAAGCCAGGTATGGTGGTACAAGCCTTTAATCCCAGCACTCAGGAGGCAGAGGCCAGCAGATCTCTGTGAGTTCAAGGGGCTAGAGAGATGGCTCAGCGGTTAAAAGCACTGCCTGCTTTTCCAAAGGACCTAGTTTCAATTCCCAGCACCGACATAGCAGCTCACAACTGTCTGTAACTCCAGTTCCAGGGGATTTGACACCCACATACAGCCATACCTGCAGGCAAAAATAAGTAAATAAATAAGCAAACAAACAAATAAATCAATAAAAGCAAACAGTGGCAGCACACACTGTTCCTAGCACTTGGGAGGCAGAGGCTGGCAGATCTCTGAGTTCCAGGTAGGCCTGTTCTACAAGGTGAGTTCCAGGACAGTCAGGGCTACACAGAGAAACCCTGTCTCAGGAAAAAAAAAAAAGGGGGGGATAGTAGTGATGGTACTAAAATATTGAATTGATTAGCTCACTAAAACATGCAACTCATTGTTTGGGACACATCATATCAATTCAATAAACCTGATTTTATTTTAGATAATCTTTTTGCATTATAAAATATATTTTAAGTAGAAAACAAAACAGAAATGAAGAATCTAAGGCACAAAAACCTCACCATCACCACTTTTCTATTAACATTTTCTATTAACATTTACTTTTTTATAATATTGTCATAGTTATGGCCATCACTTTTTTATTTACTTATTTATATATTTGTTTAGAGTTAAGTCTCCACTAGACTCACACTTATCTAGAATTTGTAACCTTCCTGCCTTAGTCAAATGATGGGATTTCAAATATGTACCACCATGGACAGTTTAAACATTACTCTTTATTTTTACTTCTTTGGGCTGGAGAGATGGCTCAGACGTTAAGAGCACTGACTGTTCTTCCAGTGGGCTAGAGAGATGGCTCAGAGGTTAAGAGCACTGACTGTTCTTCCAGAGGTCCTGAGTTCAATTCCCAGCAACCACAAGGTGGCTCACAGCCATCCGTTATGAGATCTGGTGCCCTCTTCTGGTGTACAGATATAATACATGGAAGCAGAATGTTGTATACATAATAAATAAAAAAATAAATAAATAAATAAATCTTTAACTGGCTCAACAGTTGAGTATATACTGCATTTTTATAGAACCCAAATTCAGTTCCCAGCACTCAAAACTGCCTCAACTCCAGAGATAAGATGGCCACTCCTGGCCTCCAAAGGCACCTGCACTCATGTATACATAGACACATATAAAATATTAAAATTATTTTCAAATATTTTATGAACCAGATGAAGGCAATCCTAACTTTAAAAGAGATTAGAATAAAACTAAACTTTATTCTATCTCTAAAAATGATTTTATTTTATGCTGGAGAGGATGTGGAGAAAGGGGAACACTTCTCCACTGCTGGTGGGAGTGCCAACTTGTACAGACACTTTGGAAATCAGTATGGCAACTCCTCATGAAAATGGGAATCAGTCTACCACAAGATCTAGCAATTTCACTCTTAGGCATATACCCAAAAGAAGCACATTCATACAACAAGGACATCTGTTCAACGATGTTCAGAGAATCACTATTTGTAATAGCCAGAAACTGGAAGCAGCCTAGATGCCCCTCAACCAAGAATGGATAGAGAAAATGTGGTAACATTTACACAATGGAGTACTACCCAGTGGAAAAAAACAATGAAATCTTGAAGTTTGCAAGAAAATGGATGGAATAGAAGAAACCATTCTGAGTGAGGTGACCCAATCACAAAAAGTCAAACATGGTATTACTCACTCATATGCGGATTTTAGACATAGAGTAAAGGATTACCAGCCTACACTCCACACTGCCAGAGAAGCTAGTAAACAAGGAGGACCATAAGAGAGACATACATGGTCCCCTGGAGAAGGGGAAAATGTCAAGATCCCATGAGCAAACTGGGATCACGGGAAGGGGGGGGGAGGGAGCTAGGAGAATGAGAAGGGAAGAGGAGGGATACAGAGGGCATGAGGGAGCAGAAAGGTTGAGTCAGGCGAAGAATAGAAGATTAGAATGGAGATACCATAATAGAGGGAAACATTTTAGGTTTAGAGAGAAATCAGGCACTAGGGAAATGTCTGGAGATCTACAAAGATGCCACCAGCTAACAATCTAAGCAACAGGAGAGGCTACCTTAAATGCCCTCCCCTGATAATGAGATTGATGACTGACCTATATGCCACCAGATAGCCCTCATCCAGCAGCTGGTGGAAGTAGAAGCAGATACCCACAACTAATCATTGAACTGAACTGGAATCCAGTTGCAGAGAAGGACGAGTGAAGAGCAAAGGGGTCCAGACCAGGCTGGTGAAACCCACAGAAACAGCTGACCTGAACATCAGGGAACTTTTGGTCCCCAGACTGATAGCTGGGATACCAGCATGGGACTGATCCAGACCCCAGTAACATGGGTTTCAGTGAGGAAACCTCAGAAATCTACAGGACCTCCTGTAGTAGTTCAGTATTTATCCCTAGCATAGGTGTGGACTTTGGGAGCCCATTCCACATAGAGGAATACTCCCTGAGCCAAGACACACTGGGGTGGGCCTAGGCCCTATCCCAAAGGATATGATAGACACTGATGACACCCTATGGAAGGCCTCACCATCCAGGGGGAGCAGAAAGGATATGTGATAGGTAAGGTTTTAGTTGGGGGAGGGGTTGTAGGGGAAGACAGGAGGGAGAAGGGAACTGGGATTATCATGTAAAACAATCTTGTTTCTAATTCAAATAAAAAATGATGTTATGTTACTTTGGTGTTTTATATGCGTGGGAGTTGTGCGGCACAGCGAGAGACTCAGTTCGCTCATTTGACCTTGTAGGTCTTGGGGCTCAAACTCAGGCAGTCACAGTCACACTTGGTGGCAAGTGCTTTTGCCCACTGTGTCAACTTGCTATCCCCTAAACTTTAATTTTTCTACTAGGTAATTTTGTAGATAATGTTTGCTCTTTTCCATGTTTTGAAAGTAGCTTCATTAAACGGGAAAATAAACAGCTCAGTCTGTCATATAACTGTAATAAACACCTCTGTCATATAGCTCACCTCTACAGATTAACTGTAACACTGCTTAGGGGAAAGCATCTGAAGATAGGAAAAAAAATCTGAGAAATACTGGGTAACCAATAAAATTCAACAAAATAAAATCTTTTCCAGCCTACCTTGCTGTCTTTAAGTAACAGAGTTTTAAGAATTAAATATAATTTCTAGTTATTTTTTATAAACTGATTCACAGTACAGATTATACCTTTCACAATTAAAAACTGCACTGAAATTATAGTTGGGAATAAAATATCTCCACAAAGTCCTTCATATCATTCTTACCTTGTCGATTTTTTCGTATTCGTTTTGCTTGAAGAATTTGCTTTTTACATTCAGCAATTTTTTCATGTGCTCCGGCAATACTACATTCTATACAAAAAAAGTAGTTTTTAAAAGGTAATTATAATAACATGTATAATCTGTACTTTTAAACACAAGACATTGATGTTCTACAACACAAGTGTTCCATCTTATTACACAGCACTGTGGTTGCTGACATTACCACTGTAAATATGATGCAATTCTACTATAATACCGATATTACCAAATAGCTTTTCCTTCAAACCACAAATACAATTATACAAACATTATTTACCTATTTCTTTGTATATTTTTTCATAATTCTCCATTTCTCTGAGATTCATATCATACACCAGCAAAGTCTTGCCCATTGAAAACTCACACTGGGACAGGGTGCTCAGCATACGCTGGTACTGGCTATATCTATGAAAAAGGGAGAGAATAAAAAAATGTAAACTAAAGGAAACCAAGTTCTGATAATTATTTGTTTTATATGAAATAGCTTAGAACACCCACTCTTACTACTTTCTTTGCTAGATATGGTGTAAAACTTCTCTGGTTAGAAAGGCAAGGTTAGTGAGGCTACTGTTCTCATCAATAGTCTATGTGTGTCTGAATTAAACTACCCATAACAATATCTGATTAAGAGTTTTCTTCAGAATTCTGTTCTCACCACTTTCCTATTCTATACAATACAATCATTTAAGCAGAAAGTAAATCCATAAAAAACTTCATAAAATTAATATGTAATCATTTTGCAGCAACTTATTATTAACAAAAGAGAAATCTTCATTTAGAGATACTAAACAAATACTGATTTGTTAAAAGTAATTAAATTATTTAGCCTGAGCTCAATCTTTATTTCTTCCTTCACTGCTGTGCTTTCTGCATTATACAGACACAAAGGAGGCCTCCAAAGAAAAGGTCAAGAAAAAGAACATTTCTGATCAATCACGAAGTGGACAGAGAAAGTCAACAGAGTTGTATGGCACGGCCTTGAGAAGACTCCCCCAGGACAGACACTGGTACAGAAATGGCATGGGGAAAGTACCCCTCCTCTTGGGATCCAGAGTTGCACCATTTGATGAAGCTTTTCACAAGGAGATTAATTCTCCGGTCATCCCCGGCACCATCTCCATCAATCAGAAGACGCTTCCGTATGACTTCGTCTGCAGGAAAAAAGGTAAGTGAGAATTAAATGAACATTTGGTTCAGTGTAATTCTCAAGACAACCAGTACTACTACTCATTCAAAAGAAAATTACTGAAATATAAGTATATTTAATGCCATTGGCTGAGCTGCTACTTAGAAGCAAGAAGGTAAAATTGGTAAATTATTTTTGCATCTTGCCACAACTAAAAATGTCTTTTTTTTTTCCCTTCAAAGAAAAGTGAAACTCTGCCATCAGAATTGGCATTCTTTCTTTCTTTCTTTTTTTTTTTTTTCTCGAGACGGGATACAGGGTTTCTCTGTGTAGCTTTGGAGCCTATCCTGGCACTCGCTCTGGAGACCAGGCTAGCCTCCAAATTACAGAGATCCGCCTGCCTCTGCCTCCCTAGGACTGGGATTAAAGGCATGCACCACCAATGCCTGGCTTCAGTCTACCTACCCACTTCTAATTCAGCTCAAAACCTTAAGAACCCAGAAATGACCTGTCATTCTTTCTCTAACTTGGTACTGCATGCTAGGAATCTCCCCTTCTCTGTTCTTCTGTTAGTGCCTCTCACTTAGAGATGTGTACAGTCCTGGCTCCCATTGGTTTGGACAGGTTTTTTTTGTTTGTTTGTTTTGTTTTTCCCCAAAATTAGTTCTCCTAACAACTATTGGCTTAGCTTTTCTGTTGTACCTGAAAATTTACTCTCAACAACCCATAGAATGCCAATTCTGAGCCGGGTCATGACAGATCAGAGAAAAGAGGGCAGCTTCAGAAAGTTAACTTAGTTGTTAAGTGCTTAACTTAACTTAGTTGGTAAGTGCTTTAAAGCATTCACTATGCACCCTCTGCCTTCCATGTAATGGATGACAGGTGAGAGTCACTATATCTGACTCCCATGTCTCATTTTTGCCCCAGTGCAAAGAGAAAACAGAACACAAAAGTAATGCAAATGATGACTGGAGTCCAAGCAGCTTGTTCAGCAGTTCTGAACTAGAGTTCTTACCAGGACCAAATAATGCTGGGCCATAATCAGAAAGACAAATGGAAATGGGGAAAAAAAAAATCATTCCATCTACCAGATCATAACATGGCAACAAAACTATAGACAAGATGTTCAAAAACTGTTCTTACACACACTGTTAAACATGCAGGAATACAGATACAATCACCAATGCTTGAAATGGACATAGCATTTGTCCACAAAAGCACAGTTTTTTTTTTTTTTTTCCTTTTGGGTTTTGAGATAGGATCTCTCTACACAGCTGTGTAGCTAATTCTGAGACTATATGGCAGAGGCTGGAGTTACAGGTGTGCACCACCATGCACAACAGATGTAAAGAGATTTCTTTAGCAGTGTTGTTTGTAGTACTGCAAACCCCCAACAACCTCTTTAGATAATTAAAGTAACTTCTGAGAAGCAGAATATGGTGCTGACCAATATGTAAGGAAATGTTTTAAAAAGTTGTGCATGCATGTAGAAAATATGTCTGGAAGGATTCACAAGTAATGGACAATATTAATGATTGTTTATGACAAGGGGACTACAGAGATAAAAATGATTTTCTTAGATACCATTTTATCATTTTTTGTTTGTTTCTGGGCTTTCATTTCCTTTTTAACTAAATATATTTTGAACACAAATTTAAAGCATGAATAATTTCTGGAGAGACTGCATAGATCAACAGCAAAGTCTTTGCCAACAGCTCTTGTGTGTGTGGGCACAAGTATCTGTAAGCACAGGTAAAGTGGAGATGGGCCCAGTGTAGGGCATCCTTAGACAGACACGTTTAGGATAAGTTTCTCTGAAAGCATGTTAAGCTACAAATTCATCTGAGCATTTAACTTTATGTTTCAAAAAATAGTAATGTTTTCAAACTTTAATCACCAAACAATGTTATGTGAAGAGACCCAGATAAATAAAACACAGTCCTTTAAGATATTAAAATGGCCTGGAAGGACCGTGCCTTGTTGGCACATGCCTTTAATCACAGCACTTGGGAGGCAGAGGCAGGCGGATTTCTACGAGTTCGAGGCCAGCCTGGTCTACAGAGCGAGTTCCAAGATAGCCTCCAAAGCAGCAGAGAAACCCTGTCTTGAAAAACAAAAACAATAAAATGGCCTGGAAGTGGTGGTGGCACGCACCTTTAATCCCAGCACTCAGGAGGCAGAAGCAGCCGGATCTCTGTGAGTTCAAGGCCAGCCTGTTTACAGAGAGTTTCAGGACAGCCAGGCTGTTACACAGAGAAACCCTGTCTCAAATACCTGCCCCAAAGAGATTAAAATGCAGAATATAAATTTTTGATTATAAGCACAAACACACAAAGTACACGTTTGAGACAAGGTCTCACTTTGTAGCCCTGGCTTTCTTGAAACTTCTTGCTATGTAAACCTTGCTGGCCTCAAACTCCCAGCACATAGAGAGACAGCAGTCTGCTTCTGTCAAGTGCTGGGAGTAAAGGCAGTCTTGGGGCTGGAGAGCTCAACAGTTAAGAATGAGAATTGCAGCACTCAAGCCTGACAGTTTACAATCACCAGTCACCCCAGCTCCAGGGCTCTCTCACTTCCAGACTCCTCCAGCACCTGCACTTGTGCACACAAGCATGCATGAGTTAACGCACTTTCACACACGAAGAATTAAAAAGATAAATCTGGAGGTGTGTGCTACCATTAATGGCAACTTGACTGTTTAAACAGAACAATCTGGAAGTTACAGTGCTATTTAGATGTTTGCTCTTCTCTCTATTCTTCCCAATTCTTCCCAAGCCCTACCCTCCTCCCTGGGTGGAGGAGCTTCCTACATTAGAGTACCTGGGATTTAACTGCCTGGCTGTCCTGAAACTCTCTCTGTAAACAGGCTGGCCTTGAACTCACAGAGATCCGCTTGCCTCTGCCTCCTGAGTGCTGGGATTAAAGGTGTGTAAATGCAGTAGGAAACAGAGAGGAGCTACCACAATTACTATCTTGAGTCTAGTAACTAAAAATATTTAAAGTCTGCTCTTCAAGATCAATGCATCTTCACACATGAACAAAGTACTCTAATTTGGAAACATTCATAAGCCAAGTAAACCAAATCAACAGAGCCCCAATCAACTTGACTTTTCTCCTTATCCCAAGCTGCCCTCAAAGAATGTACTTTGCCTGGAACGCCCAATTCTTCTGCCTTGCTTCCTAATTGCTGTTATAGGTGTGAGGCACCATGAGAGACTTAAAGATCTTTTTTATTTTTCTTTTTTTGAGTTGTCTTGGCTACCCTGGATCTCATTTGGCTCTCTTTGAACTCACAGAGATCACCCAAACTCTGCCTCTGGAGTGTTGGGATTAAGGTGTTGCCATGCTCAGCCTGACATCAATATTTTAAAATTTGGTTTGTGATGCCTACAGAGGCCTTCTGAAAACCACTGTCTCAGCGGGCGTTGGTGGCACACGCCTTTAATCCCAGCACTCGGGTGAGTTTGAGGCCAGCCTGGTCTCCAGAGTGAGTGCCAGAATAGGTTCTAAAGCTACACAGAGAAACTCTGTCTCAAAAAACAAACAAACAAACAAACAAAAAATACTGCCTCTATTAAACACTAACAGACTACTGTTATTTATTTTCACTATTTTCACTGTCATAGCAACAAGTACTTATACAAAAGGTGTGAGCAAAATTTGTGCACAAGGCAAAAGAGTAAGTTCTGAGGAGAGGAAGCCTTTCACTACAGTAGCACCCACATCAGCACACACATTGAGGTAGCTGTAGTACTTAAAAGAGAACACATTACACATAAGTAGGAGACAATCAGATGAGGTGGCATTTGAGTGGCTCTTTATCAGTGTATCTCAAATTTTCTAATCAGGTTTCATTTGGGAGTATCAAATACAGTTGTATGGTGTCATTTATACACCATAACATTTTAATAATAAATGAAAAACATCCCAAATGTCTGTAAGTGGATGAACAAGTTAAATAAATTTTGGTATAAGAACATGATGGAGCCAGGCGTTGGTGGCACATGCCTTTAATCCCAGCACTAGGGAGGCAGAGGCAGGCGGATCTCTGTGAGTTTGAGGACAGCTTGGTCTCCAAAGCGAGTTCCCAGACAGGCTACAAAGCTACACAAAGAAACCCTGTCTCAAAAAGACAGAAAAGAAAGGAAGGAAGGAAGGAAGGAAGGAAGGAAGGAAGGAAGGAAGGAAGGAAGGGAGAAAAGAAGAAAGAAAGGAAACATGATGGAGTATTATCGAAATGAGATACAGAGATAAATTAAGATACAAGATGAGCCTGGCATTGGAGGCCCATGCCTTTAATCCCAGCTCTTGGGAGGCAGAGGCAGAGGCAGAGGCAGAGGCAGAGGCAGAGGCAGAGGCAGAGGCAGAGGCAGAGGCAGAGGCAGAGGCAGAGGCAGAGGCAGAGGCAGAGGCAGAGGCAGAGGCAGAGGCAGATGGATCTCTGTGAGTTCGAGACCAGCCTGGTCTACAAGAGCTAGTTCCAGGACAGCCTCCAAAGCCACAGACAAACCCTGTCTCGAAAAACCAAAAAAAGAATGGAGAAGTACATTTACATATGCTCATATTTGCATAGACACCCTGGAATCCTATGAAAGAACAAATAAATGGGCTTATCAAGAGAGGGGCCAATTTAAAACAAACAAAAAAAGGTCAGTGGAGGACAGGCTAGAAGACAGAGAAAAGTATAGTTTGATTTGAATACGAGAGGAGTACTCAAAATCTGAGTGTTATTCTGTTATACAGGAAAGAATGCTAGAGTCTTCCTATTTCATGACTCACCAGCAGGTAGAAAGCTGTGTGTGAGCTCTAGCAGAGTTGGGGGAACAGACACAGTAACACCCCAGAAGACCAAATGAGGGAGGACAATGCAACCCAACAATACAAATGGTAATCTATAGGTTACATCATGAGAGGATGGTATCTGGTGGTAGGCAACTGAGCAACTGAAGGTGCATGGGCAGAACTATGTGGCAGGAGCGAGCTAAAGACTGCAAGTGGGAAAAGCCCAATCAAGAAGGTTAGTCAAGAAGTTGCCAAGCCACATGCAGTTAGGAGACTCACAGGTTTCCAGAAGGCAGGTTAAGACTGAGCAGGTGGGCATGAGTGGGAGAGTAGGAAAACTAGTCTGGCAATGCAGAGGCCTCTCATCTAGGCAATCTCATACCCTCCTTGCACTTCAGCCCTCTTTATACACATTTTTTTCAAAGCTCTGGGTCAGAAATCAAAACATGGAGACAATGGTTTTGGTTGTATACCAAAAGTTTATGGATGAGCACATGAGATCAACTTTTAACTTCATCTGCAAAGTAAGAATAAAACTATCTAGTTTGCAGGACTGTTGAGAAGCATCTTGAAAACAGAAAGTGAAAGAATAATGCCTGTCCAAATTAAAATGCCCCAAACACATTATCCTTTTCTTTATCTTAAATTTTAACCCACAACTTGCAATACCCTAAAAACATTACACAGTAAATGAAGAGACTTAGCTAGACAGATTAGTATCTATGTAGATACTTATTATGTATTCAGAATTTTGCCCAGTTATGATTGGCTGTCTCAAACTGAACAGTTACTGCCTAGAAAACTAGACAAGAATTACTGCCACAACATACACCTTGTAGAGTATACAATAACAACAAAGAGAGAAGTACATCGCCAGATTGCGAGGTTGAGAATAGCTTTTCTTTAGTTCCTAACACATGGCAGGAACATTTTTATTTTTAGCAACACCTCATCGTTTAGGTCATACTGAACATACCTAAAACTAACTAACTAACTTACTTACTTTCTTTTCTTTTCTTTTTTTTTTTTTTTTTTTGAGACAGGGTTTCTCTGTGTGTAGTTCTAGCCAGCAAAGCCACTCTAGTCACTCTGTAGACCAAGCTGGCCTCAAGCTCAGAGGTCCACCTGTCTCTGCCTCCAGAGTACTGGGATTAAAGAAAGGAGTGCACAACCACCTCCAGCTCCTAGAACACTTTTGACTTCCTAAATTACCATGAAGCCTTCTGTAAATGATCTGGTTGCTTGTACTAATCCCACCAGGCTTTGGGGGCCATTCTATAAAAACAAATATGCAAAAGCAGCTTAGAAACTATTTTATTTATAATAACTTGATGAGAAACTATGATCATATAAAGATAATGTTTACATAAATTCCTATTAGATTTATCATTACATTACCACCACTCATGAGTTATTAAGATGAATTACATAAGCCCATTTGTTGCATTCCTCATGTCAGAGCTCCTGTCCCCACCCTTCATGAAGTTTAAAACCATTAGGATGATTTTTAAGGTCAACAATAACTAAGAATATAAATAAAAGAGACAGAATAAACAAGGTAGTTTGACTCTTCCATGTAAATGCTGTTCCCATCTGAGATACTTATGTCCCATTTAAACAAAACTCTTGATGGTAAAACCAAAATTAAGTTAAAACATTTTAAGCCAATGCCTACAATCCCACTATTTAGCAAGCTAAAGCAGGAGGATTGTGCAATTGCATAATTTAAGGATAAAACTTCGATTTTGTTTTGAAAAGCTATCTTAGCTAAAGGGAAATGATTTAATAGTTGAACTAGTCCACAGCCAATGGAGCAAACGGGAGGAAATGTACCAGCACTGGTGAACAAACGTGCTTCACACTGGGTCACTTGAAGTGAATGCCACAGCAAACACTTCTACAGTGTTTACTCCCGTTTGTCTCTTCTCACTGAGAAGTGTACTGGCTTAGCTAATAAATAGCTGTTCCATTTCAGAGTGCTTACATGAGTTATTACACTGCATCCTTGAAATGACCCTGTAAAGTCTGTGCTGTTATTGTCCATTTACAGGTGACATCCGTGCCTTCACCAGAAAATATATACAATTACATTATCGTTTAGTTCCATTATGCTGTCATATTGTTTGAGCATATTAAAATCATTTTAAATTACTAAGTATATGTCTTTGAAAGCTGTCAAAGCCAAACAGCTCTGCTGAATGCAATACAGAACCATATCTTCCCCATCTTCTCACTTCCCATCTGTTGCTCTAGATATCAACATATCTCTGTACTACAAAAAGGGTTCTAACCCAATTTAACACACTTTAAATTATCACCTACAACATAAGCTGTTAGAATAATTTAAATTAGCAGTGACACATCTTAACTAGTTTTCAGTTGGCCAAACTTAGGAGTGGCTTTGCCAGAAACAAGCTGCCCAGCTAAGTCACTAATTCACCAGGACCTGCTGCTCACTGCCCCCTACTTGCTCATCTATATATGACAGTGCTGGGGATGTAGCCTTGCTCAATGGCAGAGTGCTTGCATAGCATACAAAAGGGTCTTAGTTTAATCCAACTAACACAGAGGCATGTATGCTCCCCTTCCAGCACCCTCTCCCTCTAATTTCCTTCTGTACCTAGCTAGCATCTCACATTTGTTGATTACTTAGTTCTTACTTCAGTTCAATTTCCTTCCCTCATAACAAGACAGGGAAGGGTACTCTGTATTTAGAAAGATTCACTGAACATTAGCATGTGTGTGATTCAGTACAATGTCCTTTACTTCCAAAACAGCACTCCAGGGTAGATTTTATTAGTAGCTTAATTAACAGAGAGCAAAACTGAGCCTCAAAGAAGCTAGGTAACCTCCACAAGGTCAGAAGCTGGTAGTTGTCAACTGGGGATTCCTATGGCTTCTAAGGATTAGGGGGCTGCAGTTGGTAAGTTTGTAACTCACCATTCCTTCCCTTCTCTCACCTGAAAAATTCATCACTCCTCTGGAGCAAGGCACAGATCCACACAAATAAGAAACATAAGATCATCTTTTGACATCCCAGCACATCTGACCAGTTCACTTACTGAATCCCCTTAGTTGGAGTGCTGGCCCAATTACCTTTCACTAGCACTACTGCAGCAGGAGTTGAGCTCAGTGCATATTAGCCAGTCAGAGAGATGCCTCAGCAGTTAACAGCACTGGCTGTTCTTACAGAGGTATGGGTTCAATTCCCAGCACTCTTCTGGACTCCACAGGCACCAGACACATGTGGTACACAAGCACACGTGCAGACAAAACACACACACAGGATGTGGCTTGGTTTTTAAGCCCAGGTTCTGGAACTTACTACCACTACAACTCTGGACAAGTTTCTTAGGTTATCAGTTTTATGTATAAAATGGGGATAATTAGAACATTGCACCACACATGCTACAAGTACTATGTTATTGAAGGGGAAAGTGATTTCAGCACCTCCCTTCCAATTTCCTTAATATTCTCCACACAGTAGAATGGGTATGTGCACTTTAAATCACGTAGATCAGGATGAGGATGTAACACTTTTCTTATGAATAGGAGCATGGGTTCTGTCCTCAGCATTGAAAAAAAAAAAAAAAAAACACTTCAAGTAATTAAATATAAGCAGATCTGATCACTAATGTTGCACTAAACATTGCACTAATGTTTAAAACTTGTCTTGATATGACATGGAGTACCTTTGGTCCCAGCACTTAGGAGGCAGAATCAGAAGCTGGTGGGGATCTCTGTGAGTTCCAGGACAGCCTGATCTACATAGTAAGTTACAGGGCAGCCTAGGATACATTTAGGAAGACCTCATTTCAAAAGAATCCAAATCCCAAACTAAACCAAATTAAAAATCAAACAAACAAAATTTCCAGTGGCTTCCCCTGACCTTAAAAATTCATGGTGCTTAACTTTTTCTAAGTTCTAGCTAATTACTACATGACATATTTAATTTCTTTCAGCATTTTGGGACTTGTATAAATGACTGGTCATTTGTAATTCCAGTCCTAATATATCCATTCATCCTTCAAAGGAATGGGGGTGAGAAGGAAGTCTTTTCAAGTTTTCTAATCACCAGTAGAGACAGATCAACAACAACCTCAGTTCAATCCCCAGGACCCACAAGGAAAGAAGTGACTTCAGCAAATTGTCCCCTAACTGCCACATGGGAAGGGTGGCCTGCCTGGGGAACAGGTGAGGCAGGGAGGGCAGCAGGCAGACACACACACACAGACACAGACACAGACACACACACACACACACACACACAGACACACACACACACACACACACACACACACACACACACACACACACACCATACCTTCACCCCTACCCTACCCCAATTATTTAACGTTTACAGTCAATCCAAACTGCAAACATACAAGAGCAAACTTCTTTGCCTGTTCTGGGTTGCAAAATATAAGTAAAGCATTGCCTGGAAGTACGGAAAATACCTACTGAATAAACGAAACTGGAATAAAATAAGATTAAAATTCCTCTATTTATCCCTACCTAGACTTTTCCTCCAACAGTCCTCAAATTTGGGTCTTGAGTTGTTCTTCCCATTCTCTGGATGTCAGTCCACTGGTACCCATAGCTACTGGTCACCCTCTCAAGAATAGCTCCAAGCCACAGAAACCTTTCTACCAAAAGCAGGTACCGATGTTAAGTTCTTGTTCCAGCTTCCCGCCGCATCTGTCCATACCTCCCTGAAATGCCCCCTTATTTCTGCTCTCAGTCCACAGACCACAGCTGTCCACAATCCATCACCCTCAATTCATCCAGGCCTACAAACCACCCTCCCCAACATGCCCTCCTTCAGTGGTCGCGGTCTAAGCCGCCGGCTTCATCCCACGGGGCGCTTTACCTTGTAAGTCGCCCAGATACACTTCCCGACCGGCCTTCCGGACACCCCTATTCCTTTTGGAGGCTGTCCCCAGCTCGGTGCCCGCAATCCACCTCA